TTCTCCAGGCGATAGCCCAGAGACACCGTTGCATTTCATAGCAACATAGGAATTCTTTTAAAAATTCGTTTTCGGAGTCCATGTTATTGTTGAAATTTATTGTCTGACTGTCGTTTTTTATGTTCACATTATCGAACCAACAAACATCCAACATCTGAATGTCACGCAACCATAAATTTTCTTGTGGTTGCCTGATGACTGAGATAAATTAACGGCCACACTGGCAAGCAAACCGACATTTCAGCAAGAGTGTCATTCAAAAATGATAGTGTGTACACCGCTTAAGTATTTATAAAGAAATTCAAAAGTCGATCTTGAAAAGTCGACTTTTCGATTTCCTCAAATTTGAAAAGTCGACTTCGATTTTTGACTTCAATACAAAAATTCGATTAATCGATTAGTCGAAAGTCGATTTACTTATCCCTAATCTCATCTTTAATTTTATTTTTTTTCTTACAACAACAAGACGGGAAATCGCGATTGATATATTTGTTGCTAGTGCAGAATTAACAGAAAATCGTTTTCAAAAAGTAAATGTGACAGAAGAAAGTGTTAAGCAAACTAAAACATCAAGTGAAACGCGTAGACATCAAGGTGATTTGTCAATTTTTAGTGTGCACAGAGTATGCATGATTGTTTGTGTATTTTCGTGGTCGGGCGTTTATGCCTTGATAATTATTTGGTATGATTGCATGAAGGATATGAACGAAAAATTAAATTGTAGATGCTGCTCCTGCAAATGACGACGCAGGAACGCATAATGTTGGTTCAAACTATTCATTAATGGATTCCTTTCAATGTGGTTAATGGCCGAAGGACAATGCGATAGTTGTAAACTTATCTGATAGATAGTCAAGGACCCGTCACCGCCCTTAAAGAAGCCGACGACTTTACTCCCAAGTCAGCGTGTCTGTCCCTTAGCGTAGACTTGTAAGCAGCTGAAAGAGCATTAGGTCCTGAAGAGAGTGAGCAAGAAAAATAAAGAGCAACGAGGATTCGAGCAATTGGCGAATGTCGTTGGTTTTGTCGTGTCGTATTGTTCTAGCGGTAGCAGTAAGGAAACATTTAATCAGTGAACTTCCTTATCATCATATTGTCTTAGAATACGTCAATTCCAAGCAAATGTGAGTTTGTGTCAATGTTTGTTTGCACATCGTATTGCTTCTTTTGACAATTGCACGGCATCCGCCCATATTTGCTCTCTGTTGTATTGCACAGGAGTTGTTCAAAGGAGATGAACCACTTTCGCACATACATAACTCAGTAATAAGGGTATGGTACACAAAAGTTTAAACTGTAGAATCTGATCAAATACAAAAAAAAAAAAAAAAACGAACTAGTGAATATTTCAAAATGAAATTTCTATATTCTTATTGGAGCCACTACATACACGCTCTGAACAATAATTTATTTATTATATGTGGCGCTTGTCCTTGCTATAACAAGAATTCCTTGTGAACGGCGACGCAACGCAGTTGGTTCTCTCACATAAAATTCCCTTACCATAACAAAACGCACTCTTTGTTTCTTGACTTCTCTTTTTTTGTGTGTTATTATTTCAACAAGGATGAAAACGTTGGTGTTGCCAGACTCTGGTAAAATACAATTGGAAATCTGTGATAGTGTTAAAAATGATTGATATTTTTTCCGCTAAAAATAAAACTCAGTTTTATGTTTTCCGTCAAAATAAAAATTATGTTACGAGTTTTATTTTTTCCGTCAAAAACAAATGCTATTTGTTCCGTCAAAAATGAAGCTTATTTGAGGAGTTTTATTTTCTCTCATTTGAGGAATTTTCTTTTTTCCGTCAGAAAATTAAACTCATTTTACTTAAATAAACATAAAGTTATTCTTACCAGTTATATAACCTGTGACATTATAGTCAAGGGAAAGATTCTTTAACTAATATTCTTGATTTCATATATGGTATGTTCCCGTACTGCAAGAATCTACTACTTTTTACTACTTTTTTACTACTAGTAAAATTTAGTGATTTCTTACAGTACGGGAACAGACCGATAGTAAACAATTTTTTAAAATTTTATTACAAATATTATTTGGCGATAACGAATTTTACTTTGTGAAATCGAAGAAAATAGTAAGATAAGTCCTGATTTATCGTTCTCTATTGAAAAAGGCAATTCGGTTTCGAAATATTTGTTTTTTTCTTATTTTTGTGAGAAAAAACCTTCAAATAAAGCCTTACTTAAATATTTCAATGCTGGGAAAACTAATTTTTTTTATTGTTTATATTCTAAAAGGAAATTAAGTCCGCCATCTCTTTTCTTGGACGACCTATTTGCGGGTTGCGAATAACTTTATTTGTTTTGTGGCCAAAATTGACCTAGAGTCAAACAAAAATCCACAAAAATGAATAAAAGCATTTTTCGGTTAACTAAGAAAATGTTGTCATTCTTTTTCGCCGTTTTCAACTGACAAAAAAACATAATAAGATCATTGCGTATTTGGGTAATACGGACGTTCAAGAAACCCTATAAAGATGAGAAGGTGCGTATTTTAGTACGCAACGCGCTGCATTTACGTACGGGCCTAATCGATTTCTTTATAATTTATTCCTTTAAAACTTATTTACGAACATTTCCATCTATAAATCATTTTAAATAATTTGTCTTTGTTCTTGTTCTAAAATATAATGTACTGGCCCACGTATCCGATTGTGTATGCACAGTCAACAAATATCTGCAAATCCGTTGGGTTGGTTAGTGTTACAAAATCGATTTCAGATTTTATTAGATGGTTAAAATAATAATCTCAAGACAAACAGACATTTGCCGTGTATTCATTTGTTTTTGTAGCTGTTTGGGCTTAAACACAAGACATCACTTACCCTATATAGAATATTTTGTATTTAGTTTATGAACATTTTTTGTTATATTCGATAAGTGACATAATTTAATATGTACTGATTTCTTGTATGTACTGAAATATGTGTGAAAGGATACTTGCATTACGCAGAGCTGGGCCATTAAAAAAAACAATGAAATGTTATTTTTCCTTTTTGTGACAGCAGCTGACGGACGACAGTTAACAAATAGATGAGTTGTTGATGTCCGCGTCAAAAAAATGATAACTATGAAAAGGGATATTGTCACCTTTTCATCTTGTCATGCTCGTATCCTCCTTTTTGATAAACTTATGTTGTTCCATGAAATTCCGAAAACACGTGAAAATTTAAAGACATAAATAACAACAAGGCTATTTCAAAATAAGTTCTCGTGAAACTTTTTATAGAATATGTAATATGATGCAATTAAAGCTGTTGATATAAGTTTGTCAAAATTTAATGAGTTCGAATAACAGCAAAAAATTTAAGTTTTGCATTTCTGCTTTCATACGGTATATCAATTTAGAGCATACGCAGGGTGTTCAACATAGTTTTTACTTGTTTTATAAATGTATACATATGTACAGAGATAAAATGTAAAAGAAAAGTGAGCTTGTATAAAGTATATTTGTAGCAAGTTCATTATTCATCAAACTAATATAAATAAAAACTGAAAGTTCTCCATATCCTTAGTTCGCTAAAAGAGTAAAGATTTGTATGAAAAATATGTATTAAAATTTCGGGACCTGAAAATGTGTTCGCTCTAGATGAAGTTCGTTATAAACGTACTCGACTGTAAAATGATTACAATATTGAAAACAAATTCTCATAGTTGTAATATTTTATATAGTCGCCCTTTGCATCTACCTCACATTTTAGACTTTTGATACTGTTCTGTCTTTCTAGTTCTTTTAAAGACTTGCGCCAAACTCTGGTGTACTCTTAGTTGTAATATAACATAATGTCATATTTGAGATTTTTAAAAATAAACTCATAAAGTAGGTTAACCCGGTAAAATGTTCTAATGTAAACGCCGCATAAATGTAAAATAATAAATAAAAGTACGTTTACATTGTACCGAATTTGGTTAACCCAGTGGGTTTAAATTGTCAATTACTTTGAATATATGGCAAATAAATCCTCATAAAGTAGGTTAACCCGGTAAAAAGTTCTAATGTAAATGCCGTATAAATGTGTTTTCTATATATTCTATTATTGTACCTTTAACTAAAAGATGCAAAATTATCATTGAATATTTTTATTACACATGTTTTTCTTTTGTAACCAGGTTTTAATAGGCCTTTTAATACAACATAACTTAAACTCTTCAAGACTAGATCAATCTTAAAAGTCGTACCTAATTCATTGCTCTCCGTACAAAAATACTCACCTTCTCACCTTTATAGGGTTTGTTAGACGTCTGTATTACCCAAGGAATTTATTTGCATCTGTGCCAATTGAAAACGGCGAAAATAGATGAAAACATGTTTTACTTGATCAAAAAATGACTACTTTTATAGAAACACAAATTTTTCAATGACTGAAATTCTATTTTCAAAAAACAAAAAATCCAAAATATGAATTTGAAAGTTATCAACTTTATATTTTGATACGCCATGCCTATTTGGGTAACATTCATTGAGGTACGTGTATTTAACTTTTGATGTGAATAATTTAACTAAATAAAAAATATAGGAATGTATTGATTGTAATGTTCTACCACAACACAAAAAAGTTAAAAATAACAATGTTTTATAAATAAATAATCTATAAAAATTACGTTGCTGAAAATTATTTCTAATTTGTTACTTTATAGGCGTTTTTTGCCGCCGAACATCGAAACGAGGCTTCAATGAAACAAATGGATACTTTACGCGAATAACACAGGACAAGGGAAAACAAATAAAACAAATACGAGTAGTAAGGAATAAGGACTAATTTGCTGGATTCGCCTTTTCACATTAAAAGGCATTATTTGCTTTGACCAATACTAGTAACATCGTCAATCAAAGGGAGAGGCAACATTGTATATGCCGCGAAGCTGGTAGTTGTCCTAAGTAAATGAGAGTACGTTTGTGCGGTGTCTCAAATACTTTTGTTGGCGATATCTTCTAGCCTATCGGTGCCTTTTTCTATATAATCGACACATCTTGTTGTATTATTCCCTTATAATTTATCATGGCTGATGACGAGATACTATTCGATGACGTCTATGAACTATGTGAAGTTATTGGCAAGTAAGTATGGACGTACGACTTTATGTCTGTTGTTGAATAAATATGCAAGTCTGACCCAGTGGTACACTTCGCTGATATATATTTGTTGTGTTATTTTTACAGGGGACCCTTTTCCATCGTTAGACGTTGCATCCACAGAGAATCCAACCAACAGTTTGCCGTTAAAATTGTAGATGTGGCTAAATTCACAGCGAGTCCAGGACTCAGTACAGCTGGTAAGTTTAAATACTTCCAATAATTTCCTGCCCAATTTGTATCTGTGTAGCATTCGATATTTAGATCAGAATCCGATTTAATTAGTAATTTGCTTTGCGTTGTTGCACAATCTGGCAATATTTGGAATTTGTTGAACAATAGAGCTCGAACAACATGGTTTTTGTACATAAACCCAATTTGATTCGAATACGAGTGCTACCATTCTTTCGAATAGACTTTCGATCGTCTTAGAGAAACTGGTTGTTGTTGTTGTAGCAGCCCTATTGCTTTTACACAATGGGCTGAGGTGACAGACGTTGGCCGAGTAAGACTCGGGTCGTTTCGGATCGTAGACCCCTCTGTCGTGGAAACGAAACAGGTTGTAAATGTTTTCAATGTAACAACCATGTAGCCATAAATTTTACTGTAAGTCCTGATTTAGATTAGACGAGTTTTTGAACTTGCTTCATGCGTCTATACCAAGGTTCATTCATATGGTTAATAAGGAAGCGAAAATCAGAATGACATTTTGGATTTATTTAAATGTGAAAAACTATTTGCAACAAATAATGATTTAAAAATATATATTTATATACAAATATTAAATAATAAATGATTAAAAAAATTAAACATGCCAATTTAAAAATATATATTTACATACAAATATTAAATAATAAATGATTAAAAAAATTAAACATGCCAATTAAATGGTCAAGATATAAATACAAATTTATTTTTGAGTGCAACAAAATGTATGTTTAATTTTATTTTCCACAAAATGACAAAAAAAAAATTGTTTTGAACCCGACGCATGAAGCTAGTTCAAAAGATAACGATAATAATTGCCGCAAGTAAACTCGCCTAATCTAAATCAGGACTATGTAAACATTTTTAGAGTTCAGTAATTGTGAAAGAGGGCGTATGTTCACCTTATATATGCCAAAAACAATGGATATGATATACTGTTCAACAAATTAGAAACATTGTACAAAATATTGACTTTTTACTTCTTACAAAATAACTTACTGAGTAGATGCATTTTTTGTTAGATTTACTATACTGCATGAGATAACGAACTTGCATGTTCTGATTAAATCTCGGCCATAACTTTGAATGGTATTTATATTACATGGCAATTTTGTTTGCAATTGCCCAAGCAAAGAATGCGACTGGAATACAAATGTCATTCGAGACTCAAAATTCTTTAATTTTCGATTAAGAGCTTATTAATTTACATAAAGAACGGAATATATTTGTTGCAGATTTAAAACGGGAAGCCACAATCTGTCATATGTTAAAACATCCGCACATCGTGGAATTGCTGGAAACGTACAGTTCCGAGGGAATGTTGTATATGGTATTCGAATTGTAAGATATCTTTGCATGTATGTTATCGTCCGAAAATGTTTTAATATCTTTTTTTACATATTTCAGTATGGAAGGATCTGATTTATGTTTTGAAGTTGTACGAAGGGCTGTGGCGGGATTTGTTTATAGTGAAGCGGTAGCATGGTAGGTTAAGGTTTGCTCAATATGCGCCTGTAATCATTTTTTTTGTTTTTAATTTTAGTCATTACATGCGGCAAATACTGGAAGCATTGCGTTATTGTCATGAAAACGATATCCTACATAGAGATGTACGACCAGCATGTGCACTGTTGGCGACGGTAGATAACTCGGCACCTGTGAAACTAGGCGGTTTTGGTTCAGCAATCCAATTACCCGGAGGTCGAGAGGCTTTGGAAACGCAAGGTCGAGTTGGATGTCCACATTATATGGCCCCAGAAGTTGTAACGAGACGTTTATATGGAAAAGGTTGCGACGTTTGGGGTGCAGGGGTCATGCTGCATGTTTTGTTATCAGGACGTCTCCCCTTCCTAGGATCAGGAGTTCGATTGCAAAATTCAATAGCACGTGGGAGATTATCCGTAAGTTATAATAAATGATTAACGGTGGCTTATGCCTAAAATTATGTGCTGCTTATTTAGTTCGAGGCGCCTGAATGGAAGTCAATATCCGCTTCTGCCAAAGATTTAGTTTCAAAAATGTTAGCCGCTAATCCTCATCACAGACTGTCGATAACACAAGTTTTAGAACATCCTTGGATAAGAGTAAGTTCTCTGCTTCCTTGTTGGCAATTTGTAATAGCATGTTCCCTTTAGGATCGAGACAAACTGCAACGTCAACATTTAGCAGATACCGTGGAAGAACTAAAACGTTACAATGCCCGCCGTAAACTGAAAGGAGCAGTACAAGCCATTGCGGGAGGAACATCGTTGGATCCAATTTTCGGTTCTGAAACCGATTCTAGTAAGCGTTTGTCATTTATTTCCATTTTTAGGGTTAGAGTTAAGGAAACTTCACAAGACAAGTTGAAAAACGTTTTGCTTATTTTCTGAGGCTTCGCTTATCCTCTGAAACATCAACTTGGATACAAGAGATATTAAAATATCATAATACCTCCATACGATTAGAAATTAACTTTTATTATACCCTTCACCACACTGTGGTACAGGGTATTATGTCTTTGTGCATATGTTTGTAACAGGCAAAAGGAAACGAGATAGACACATGGTTCCTTTTGAGAATATCGTCAGCTAAAATGCAAAAAGGCGTAACTAACAAAAAATTGAAAATTGACTTTTTGAATGAATATTGTGAATGTCAATAAACTACATGTGTTGACAAAGTTTTACACGTCTGCGGTCAAAAAAGGGGCTTCTATTAACAAAACACAAAAAGACGTAACTATGTAAAAAGGCGTAACTAACAAAAAATTCAAATTTGTACTTAATTGTTATGACTGCCATTAAACTAAATAACTAAATTTGTTAAAAAAATTATAGTCTATTATTCGTCATATGCAATATCACCCTGCCGGGCATACTTTTTCATTTCACATGACATGTTTATAGTTTTCATTCAAAATAGTTTTTTGCTTCTCCTACACAATTTTGCTTTTGTTAGTTACGCGTTTTTGTATTTTAGATAACGATATGCATAGAATCACTTTCTGAGTCGATTTACGCATGTCCGTCCGTCCGTCTGTCCGTCCGTCCGTCTGTCCGTCCAAGTATTTTTGTGAACAAAGTACAGGTCGCATTTCATTCCGTCCGTCCGTCTGTCCGTCCAAGTATTTTTGTGAACAAAGTACAGGTCGCATTTCATTCAAAATAGTTTTTTGCTTCTCCTACACAATTTTGCTTTTGTTAGTTACGCCTTTTTGCATTTTAGATAACGATTGCTTTGCTTCTCCTACACAATTTTGCTTTTGTTAGTTACGCCTTTTTGCATTTTAGATAACGATATGCATAGAATCACTTTCTGAGTCGATTTACGCATGTCCGTCCAAGTATTTTTGTGAACAAAGTACAGGTCGCATTTATGATCCGATTTGGATGAAATTTGGCACAGCACACTTATTCGGCCCAAGGACGAACCCCATTGAAATTGGGAAAAATCGGTTCGGATTTAGATATATGTAGCTCCCATATATAGCTTCGCCCGATTTTAGGTAAATAGTCCACTAAAGTCCTTGGAAATCTTTTGACTTGCACGAAATTTGGTACAGCATAATGAATAAGGTCAGATTTAGATATAGCTCCCATATATAGCTTCGCCCGATTTTAGGTAAATAGTCCACTAAAGTCCTAGGAAATCTTTCGATTTGCACGAAATTTGGCACAGAGTACTGAATTAAGTCTAGAATGATGTTGCTAAGCTTCGTGAAAAGATTCGTAGCTAGAACGATTGACACAACGTACTGATGTTATATAAATTAGTCTCTGGCAAGTTTCCCTGAAATTGGTTCAGATATAGATAAAAAAATACAATTACAAACAAACGAAAATAAATTTGACACTAATCGGTCCTGCCGTTCTTATACGATGAGGTCTTTTTCATACCATGCTATATAATTTGTATAGAGACAAAATATATATTTCACTGTATGCTTCTATTAGGGTCGAACCTAACAAATACCCTATTTTCACCATTATAGGGTGAAAAGAGGCGAAAACGCATAAACACATTTTTTGCATTTGTGCACATTTGTTTTTCAGTCTGGAACCTAATTCAATGTTTTGCGTACTAAAATACCCACCTTCTCAACTCTATAGAGTTTGTTGAACGTCCGTATTACAAAAAATACGCAAGGACGTTATTTACTTGAAAACGGCGAAGATTGATGAAAACATTTTTTTAATTGATCGAAAAATGTTTACATTTATAGAAACACACATTTTTCAATGATTGGAATTCTATTTTCAAGAACCAAATTTTTGTGTTGTGTTTTTAATTTAATAGCGAAGCAATTGTTCTCTTTTGAACTAGCTTCATGCGTCTATACAAGGCAATTCGGTATAAAAAATATTTTTTTACATTTTGTGAATGTTTTTTATGTGAATTTTTAAAACATTAACGGATAAAAATGTACATAAATTCAAAGATTATGGTTTCAAACTTTAAAAGGGAAACATAAATTATTTAGATTATCATTTTTCTTTAGTTGAAGTCGTTTACTTGATTTTGGTAATGAAGTGATCTCAAGTTCATTCTACAATTTTACATTGTTTCTGTATTTTTGGTTTCCGTAATTAATTTATTTTTTTTTTCTTTCTCGGCATGCAGTGCCCGTTGCTTCCGCATCAGATATCCTTAGTGAATGGGCTGACGAAGAGGCGGGCATTGAAGCTGTGCAACGAATTTTAGATTGTCTGGATGACATATACGCTTTACAAGATGCGCACGTCGACCCAGATGTTTTACGGGATATGCTTCGAGATAGTCGCCTACACCAATTTTTACATGTACGTTGTGTTGACAATCTTTTTCAAATCTTTTTACTAAAAATTTAACGAATTTTAGCTGTTTGATCGCATTGGTTCAACCGTAATGTCGCCGAATCGCGCACCTCCTGGAGATGCTGTTTCCCGCAGTCGCGACGTCATTGAGCTCTTATCCTCCACGGGTGGTAATAAATATTTGAAAGATGAATTGATGCAACTACTAGCGGCACCACATCTACAGGTAAGTGTTATATATAGTTCCTATACGCACAACGAAAAAGAGGCAAAGATTTTCATAAATGTGATCTATATTATTGTTGTGATATTACAAAACTTTACCACCTTTATGTCCTTAATTGAATTTAGTGTTTTAAAATGATACTTAAATCGTTTTCAATTTTTTTATTTTAATATTCATTTGTATGTCCTTCTTTGTTTTTAGACCTCTTTAGTTTCTTATCAATATATGCTGACTGAAATTAATTATTTATTTATTATAGTATTAACATTGTAGTAAATACAATGCTAAAATAAATTAATTATATTTTGTATATGATGTACGTAATTAAATTAACATTTTGCTACATAATAAACAAAAGATTTAAAATATAAACTCTAATGACATGAATTAAAAGCATTGTTGTATGTACTGGTTAATTCATGTGTATAATTCTGAAAGCGAACAACGTCGTGCATGACATTATGATGTTTGGTATTATAAATAAGATATTTTCCCCAAATTAGTTGTGGCAAATCGTGCTACAAAAACAAACAATATTAACTTAAATTTCGTGGTAAGCCTCATATAGCCTCCCAAATTTCGGAAGTGTAAAGACTTTTTTGTCCAACTTTCTTTTTGTAGGAGTGTGGATAAATTATCCACCGCTACAAAAAAGTACTTTGAAAAGGACTGCTTCTGAAGAGAAGACAAATGTCGAACCTTGATAAATTTGAATTTAATTCGCAGATGCAACATCGTAATAACTATAATATAAATAAAAGTTATCAATATTCGATCTTTGTAAAGCCTCATAGTACAATAAGCTTTATGAGCCGCTTAATAAACGGCGAAAAACGTCGCATAATGGTGGGAGCGTAGCAGGGTGCGGAGAATGATTACAATACGCTCTTTCTCACGAATGCTCACGGCGAGAATTCGAATATTTTCAATTTATCGCGAATGATAAAGTTACAATGAATTAACAAGCATTTGCAATCTCTCTCGAATGTTCGCATTGTACAAAAAATTTAAGCTTTGTCGATTCGTTCTTTCGCGAGCATTTGTTGCTGAAGAACATTCTTCCGAAAAATTCAAAAAAGAAAAAGTAAACAGCGTGACCGGTGACATTTTTCGAAAAGTATCACAGAAAGTATCATTTTTGAAATAGAGGCACAAATCCTTTGAAAAGGTGGCACAAAAAGTGGCACACTATTTTGCAACATATTAACATGGAATCTGATGAAATTATATGTGGACGGTACGTACAAATATTAAAATCGGTCAAAAGCTAAGTTTTTTGTCCAAATATTTTAATATTTGAGACGATTTTAACAAAATCCACATTATTCTCATCCCAAGCCTGTATTCCATTTCATTTTATTTATTAAGCATAGTAACAAAGCCATATAGGCCATTTGAGTTGCACAAAACAACATAACTTATACTACTCGAGAAACTTATTCCTATAAAAAATAACATATCATAAAAATTCAATTATTTATCCTTACCCAGCAAGCATTTTCTATCCAAAACATATCCAAAAAGTTACTACCAGGCGATGAAAACACTCATAGGCGATATCGTATTTTTAACAAATAAGTTATACCGTTTGGGAAGAAATGAACCACGTACTCGTTACCTTTAAAAAGTATCTTCTTCGTCACAATTTGAAGTTAATAAAGCGACACTCCACAATGACACTGTTTTGTTACCTTAAATATTATCGCCTTAGTTACTTTCAACTTTCACTAAGAAGATACGTTTAAGATGTGACGAATGCGTGCTTCATTTCTTCAATAACAGTATTTGTTAAAATACTGTGACTTTTTGATACCTAAAGTAAATAAAATACGTGTATGAATAATGAGTATGTAATTGCAATTGCAATAACAATAATGAATAACGTATATTTTGCAAAAAAAATGTGAAAATTTAACGCTAAACAAACATAAAATTGAAGTTAAGGTTAATACTAAGCAAAGCTAAAACATTATTTAGTTAAATTGTAATAATAGTTAATTTTTCAACAATTTTATTAATTTACAGTCTTCGGTTGTTTTTTGTGTATTCTATCCCGAGCGTGTAAAATATGTTGTTGACAAACTTTGTTTAGGTCCAACAACGACGTTTGGGGAAATTTAAGATGGCACATATCTGTAAGAATTAATTTTTTAAAAATTTCAAATTAACACAAAAGTAAGCTGACTTGCCTCTTATTATACTATATGTAGTAAATCGCTGAAAACTGGGTTTTTGTGTAGTTCCACGCCATGTTATTTCAATTGCTACTTGATCACTTATAACAGCTTTAATTGCTAATTTAACAAATGATGACATTTCTTTTCCCCCAACACGATTTATTAATATTTTCTGTAATAAATTTGTATATAGAACGGTGGCAGAAATTATGATAAAAGTTATATGTTATTACCAATTGTTCTCGAACTTCATCTTCTTTTAGAAGTTTTGCATCAAAATTTTTAAAATCGTCGAAAACATAAAATGGCAGCGATGGCAACAATTGCAATTTTTTTCTAATGAAGTGGGCATTATGGAATGTCTTATCTCATTCTTTAGAGTAATTACTTGCTCCGTAAGTGATTTAATTAACATCTGTGTGGCCATTTGATTTTTATTAGTTTCCTTGAAAAAATTTTCCATGGATTCTTTTAGACTTTTTATTTAAATTTGAAGCTCATAAACACTCCGACTTTTAACATCTTTAAGATTAAAAAAAAAAATTATATGTAAGTATTGCATAAAAATTGCTTTAGTTTTTAATTTAATTTTTAAACATAAATAATGATTGTTAATCAATTTGACCGTTTTATGTATTGATAATCGCCGGCAGCGGCTTTTAAAAAATTATATAGTTAACTCAATTGAAAATATTTAATAATAATAATGTAACTCAAATTACCTTGTTTAATGGTTGACATTTCATGATAAATCATTTGTTGACCATTGGTATGATCTAAGTATATTACATTTTCTGCAAAAAATATGTATATTTCAGAAGTCATGTTTGCAGTTTGTATTATAAAATATACCTTTATTATTTGTGTCCATTATTGAATTAAAGGGAAAACCGTCAGTAATTTTGATTGGATACTTCATAAAATAAGAGCCTTTTTTGTAATACTTGAAATTTGAAACTCTATTTCGTCTCCAACAATAAAATTGTCACTTTCGTATATGTGGAGCTGTGTTGAATCCAGGGGCTGCAAAAATACAGGACCCAAGTTTTCAAGAAAATTGCCTTTAAAGGTTGGAGAGTTACTAATATTAATAATTTTTGAGATTTGGACAAGTTTCTTGTCGACGTAACAAAAATTGTTCTTGTTGTCCAAATTAAAGTAAAAATTATCAGTTTTAACAGAAATATAACATTCACATTCATTGCATACATTTTCAATTGCCTTTTTTGATGTAGAGCTCATGTTTCCTTTGAATGATGAATGCGCCAAATGATATTTCTTTACTTACACGTGAATTGTATTTGATACAGCAATCAAGAATGTTTCTTATTTTTTTTATATTTTATTTTTATTCATGGCAAATATTTATAGAACGACAGTTATATCAAAGGGTTGGCTTGTTACGAAACTATCGAATTTCCATCTTCTTTCATGTAACTAAGTAGTTACTTCAGACGAAAATTGGATAACAATTCATTTGTTATTGTAAAATTACGAAGTATCACCCTTTTACAAAAAATAAGTGTCGAAGTAGATAATTATTGGAAGATGGAGTTAGAAACTCACTTCCAAATGCTTGCAGGGTAATAATTTAAGATAAAGCTAAAAAACGATTCATGTAACCCCAGTTATGTAAAAACAGAAATAAACAAATAAATTAAAATTAACTAAAGTTCCATAAAAATTGTGGACTCTTTGGAATAGGCTCACAATATAGGAAGAAGTTGCACAAGATTTAAAAAAGTGGCACATTTGAAAAATGGTCTACCTGAATTAAAAAATGGTCTGCATGAAACAAAGTGGCAAAATATAGGAAGAAGTTTGTACAACATTTTAAAAAGTGACACATTTTGTATCAAAATAAAAAAGTGACACAACAGTGGCAAGTATCAAAATTGCTACTTCAGTGGCACAACGGTCATGCTGAACACATGTGTGGAATAACAAAACAACTGTTGAGTTGAGCATTCGCGAGAATTCGCGAATTTTTGCTTTCATACGTGTGCGAATGTTAGAAAAATTTCAACCACCAAACGAAAAGAACGTGTGCTCTCACTTGTTATGTGCGTGCGAACATTCGTTTGGCGAATGCTCGTGCCTAGGTTCTATATCTGGCTTTCCATTACAGTGCAATACTTGGGTCATTAACCAATCTTAAATGGTACAAAATAAAATCGTATATATTTTAAATGTCCACCTCGTGGTGAAGGGTATTTTTTTATGTTCAGCCTTTTGTGAATCGGAATCTGGCCACCTTTAATCTAGTATTGAAAATGGAAAGTGGTATGTATACTCCCACTTCAATACCAGATTAAGAGTAACCCTAATATTGAGTATTTTGAAGATTTTGGGCATGTTTTTTAACAGAAGTGGTTCCAATCTTATTGAGCACAAAATCTACCTACTAAAAAAACGCTACATCCGGAATTCGAGTATTTTGCGGTGTATAGTTGCGTTTTAACCAAATAAGTTTTCTTTTTTGTATAATAGAGTAGAAAATGTCCCTACTAAAAATATCACTATTGGCCAATGTTTCCGGGTGAGCCCATGTAATAGTACCCCTTTATTCGGTATTTGGGTAAGTTTTCTATGCGAATAGGCTTTAATTTGATATTTCAAATTCTCATACGGTGTCAAATTTTCTCACCAAAATTAGTCGTATTTTCTTATTGCAGTGGCTGTAATTTGGCATTTCGGATATTGGTGGGAAAAACACATTTTTGCAAAAAAAAGTCTATATATGCCCTACCTAAAGATCCCATTTTTTAAAAGGAATTTCCTCAAGTGGTAGTTAAATAACTTATTACGGCATGTTGAAGTTCC